TATATATCTATATAGATATATATCTATATAGATATATATCTATATAGATATATAAATACATATACACACACACAGTATCTATCAGGGATGCACTGAAATTTTGGCCGCTGAAACATTGCAGCTGAAAATGGTACTATGGGCAAAATGCCGATAGTACCAAAACGGTGCATACCTAGCTTCTCTCCTTACCGCTCGGTGCCGGCTGCAAGCTTTGGTCTGTGTCCCCTCTGATGCCCGCTGCTCTTCCCCACCTGTGTCGGCAGAAGGGATCAGAGGGACAAAGAGCCGATCCACCTCGCGGCCTCCCAGTGGGGAGGAGAGAAGCTGTCAGGAGGCTGAGCGGGGTGATGCGGGAAGAGAGCTCAGCATCCGGTGACAGGCAGAGCACTCAGAATGGAGAGCGGAACACAAACACTCAGTACAGTGTGTGTGTGTGTGTGTTTGTGTGTGTGTGTGTGTGTAGTCATATCAAACTGACTGGTAAGATGACTTTTCCCTGCTGCAGGTAAGCAATGCAGCCTGGCCAGCTGATTGTTGAATGTGATGGGCAAATCTTGTTTGATTGTTGAATGTAATGGGTGAATCCTGTTTGATTGTTGAATGTAATGGCGAAATCTTGTTTGTAACTGGAATTTATGATGTTGTATGCTGACCGTTGAATCTTGTTTGATTATAAGATGGGTGAATCTTGTAACTGGAATCTCTCTACTATGTTGTATGCTAATGGCTGAATCCTTTTTGAAAATGATAGCCGAATACTGTAAAATACAGATGGCTGAATATCCAGCAAACATTTCCCATGTGAAACCTTTATAAATAGCCCCCCATCTTATCACCAGGTACTTTTGGGCCTGAGGATTAAACATCGTACATCTGCAGCACTGCTGAAAATATTTTTGTTGTTGTTGCAGGAATCTCATTAACACTTCAGTTCATTACTAAAGCAATTTAATTAAATAATATTGTAGCAATATTTACATTCTTCAAAACAACTGTGTGTTTTACTCTTTTAAAAAAAGTCATTTTTGGAATAAATGAGCCTTGCAGTGTGCCGAGTGGCAGCACTACTTTGCACAAGACGTTTGCGACCACTGCAGCGGGACAAGATTAATGCGCAGTGGCAATGCTGTGTGCGGCTTAACAATCATTAGTATACCTGCAGAGCACAGGGACAGTAATAGAACGCGGTGTCAGAACAGTGTGTGTTTAAGAGGGAGTGATAGAGAGCAGGGGAGCTATGACATAGATGTGTCTGTCAGGAGATAAAACATTCCATCTGTCATCTCTCCAGTCTTTCCCTCGTAAATTATACGTTCAAACTTTGAGCTGCGTTGGCTGTTTCATGAATACAGCTCAGGCCAGAGTTCATTGTAAGAAATGAAAAGCTGGACAGTTTTTTTTTGATGATGAGGAGCTTTAGAAATCATTAAATTAGAACCCCAACCAAAATAAATAGCCCTTTAGAAGATCAAATAAAACCTGCTTTTGATGCAAGATTCACCATCAATCCAGAGATTTCCCCCCTACAGTACTTTTTACTGATACTAGATGTCCTCAGTTGATGGCTAGCATCATTCAATATACTTTCTCTGAGATGAGATTGTCCTGGACCCGTCTGTTATTGGACAGTGAAAGGAGAAGCAGCACAGTGATAAGCTAATTTCTCTGTCACTCTGTTTTCCATTTCTATCAGAATGCTGTTTGTCAGCACATGAACTGATTGGCTCCTTGTGCTGCTTCCTACCCTCACACTTCAGCCCTGCAGTATAAGGACTGCAAGAGGCTGATGCCAGATTAAATTTAGGTACATACACTGCATTCAATTAAAACATACATTTACTGATGTATTAATGGTTACAAAACTGCATTAATGGTGTCTTCTATATCTGCCTAGAGTTCAGCTTTAAAGGAGAACTTTTATTCACCCTAGCAGTGGAGCTACCTCCGCACTGCAAGGGGTAATTTCTAATTTTTGTCTAGGTGCTTAAAAAACCGCAGAGCCTCGCTCCCCCTCCACTGCAGCAGTCTAAGGTCCCAAAAATCATCAGCTCTGAGCTCCGGCCGAAAAGAAAGATTAGGAAGGTCAACACCAGACCTTACTAATCAACCACTGGATCACCAGGGATTGTGCAATTCACCCCATTCATACCTGTAAACTGCAGCAGGAATCCCTAATCTGGGGATGCAGCAGCTGTTACCCGTTCAAGTTAATGATCAGGTGACAGCCACTGCAGTTAGGGATCAATCGCTTTCTCTGGATGCACGATCAATGCATCCAAGAATAGTGATTGTTTCTTAACTGCATGTTATCATATCATAATATATAATAATATATGCTGTAGCTTGGCACTGTGCCACATGACTGTAGCAATGTGTTGATCAGTGGCATTTTTTTGTGGGGGCATACAAAATTTTGCTATGGGGTCCTGTGATTTCTAGTTACACCCCTGACCATAGCTGATCACCTACCCATCCACATCCCTAGCCAATCTGCCAATTGGCCTACCTGAATATTGGGAATGTATTTACTGCACAGGTTTTAAAGCCACATACCAGAAGATCCTCCATTTTTGGGATCCAATGCAGCTGTCAATATGAAAGCTTTGGGTGATTTTACATTGTGCTTACAGTTTTTCCTTAAAGGAAACCGGCGCTGACAGAATTACTAAGAATGTCATTGCTGACCATTGTTAGCTCAAAATCAGACTGAAGTAAAAATATTTTTTTTATTAGTAGAGACACCCTTTAAAATCTGAGTTCATTTGATTTTGTCCTGCGCACTAACCTGTATGTTGTCGTCTTTCGGAGGTGGGCTGGTGTGATTCATGAAGATACCTCGAGGAGAACTCCCTCTCTGCTGTGAGAAGCATTCCTCCAGCTGCTGGTATACCATGTCATGTAATCTCTGTAACTCCTCCAGCTCTTCTCCCTCCACCTTCTTGTCCGACAGGTACTCTATCTCCGCTTTGTGATAACCATCCAACTGGCCTCTCTGCAGCACACGGAAACGTCTCCTGCCAACTGTCTCCACCAGTGACCGGCCGTCGGGCAAATAGTCCAAGTGCAAGATCTCCAACATACAGCCATAGTCTGCAAAGCTGAGCACATGAGAATTTGCTTTAAGTCATGAAGACCAACATAGTAGTAAGACCCAAGCAGACCTGTTTACATATCTACTGTATATAGTTAATAAGGCTGACAGAAGACCCATGCCCATTAAGGTTAATCTCCCACAGAGATTGTAGATTTGGTCCAAAGAAAGACTGGGCAGCTACTGCCAATTTTCCCACGCAATCTATCTTTGGATATTATAGGCCTGACAGAGCGATATTTTACACTTCAAATATATATGCAAAAATTTTTTTAGGAAAATCTGTCATTTTCACATTCATAGCAAAGCGAGAGGTTCTCTTGATGGGTCATCCACACACCCACCCACTGATACTTAGGCAAACTCCCTTGTCTGTCTGTTTGTCTTTTAGAGATGTAGGCAGGGCCGTCTTTAATACTGATTGGACCCTGGGCAAACAATTTCTTGCCCCCCCCCCCCCGGCCCTAACAGCAGCATACGGAAGAGGTGAGGGCAACACTATGTGATGCCGAACGCATAGTAAAGAGAATGGTGCTGCAAGGGTTGCTGCCTTTTCTTCAAGCGAATCCCGAACAGTCTAACACCACACTGCAACTTTTTTTAGAATAAACAAGAGAGAACGAGGAGAGAGGGAGGAGAGACAGACATGGGAGAGAACGAGGAGAGACAGCAAGGAGAGAGAGCGGGGAGAGACAGCAAGGGGAGAGAGAAGAGAATGAGGCGAGACAGCCAGGAGAGAGACAGCCAGAATAGAGAGCGAGGAGAGACAGCAAGGGGAGAGAGCAGGGAGAGACAGCCAGAATACAGTGAGAAGAGACAGCCAGGGGAGAGAGCAAAGAGAGACAGCCAGGAGAAAGATTGAGGAAAGACAGCCAGGAGAGAGAGCGAGAAGAGACAGACGGGAGAGAGAGAAGAGGAGAGGCAGCCAGGAGAGAGAGCTAGGGGAGAGAGCAAAGAGAGACAGTTAGGAGAGAGAGCGAGGAGAGACAGACAGGGGGGAAAGAGGAGAGACCGAGAGGAGAGAGAGGCAGGAGCGACAGCCAGGGGATAGAGTGAGAGACAGCTAGGAGAGAGAGCCAGGAGAGAGACAGGATATTCAATATCCTGGTGGGAAGCTGTGCGGAGTCTCAGGAGGACTATACAGGTTCTCAGGAGGGCTGTGTACGGGGTCTCAGACAGGCTGTGCAGGTATCGGTATCGGTGCAGTAGCATCCCTAGTGAATTATAAACGTGCAATGCATTTAGTGAAAAAATACCTAATATGTATTTATTCACCATAGGGTGATTCTGCGTATTTATATATTTCTGTATTTACTTCACATGTATATTATCATTAGATTGCATATGTAGTTGGTCTCTATAGCGCAGGGCATGTTTATAATTCAAGTTTTTTAGGTGTTGTATACAATTTTTAGCATGGCAGCTTAGGGATTTGTTGTTCCATAGCACAGATCCTGTTTGTAATATTATCGATAGGTCCATCCCTAGTATTGAGAGCACAGGAAGCTTTGCTGCAGCCATACATAGAACTTGATAATGACATTTTCTTTAAAAACTCTAAATCCTGCTTCAGCAGCATGGATTGAACTAGAGAAGCAATGTCAAGAACCTGCTCTGCATATGTATGTGTTGCACACAGTATATTTATCTGTTGCATACATAAACTGTGGCATATTTGGGCACTTACTTGGTGCGAAGGTCCAGAGAGGGGAGGCAGGAGGGGACACAGTGGGGGTGACATCAGGGCACGGTGTGGGCTCCCAGCAGGGCCCCAGACAACACAGGAGAGCAGAGTACGGAGAGCGGGAGGCGGGGCCGAGTTGATAGTGGGCGGAGCCCAGAGCCACGTCTAAGTTGCTGTATGTAGCCTCCTGTGTGTAGAGCACCGATGCTGTGTACACAGACAGGGGGCAGGGCTGGTGCAAGCCCCATTGCCTACACAGGTGAGGCTGCCAGCCCTGCATGTGTTTATCTTATGTGGGCTGAAGGGGCAGCTGCTTTGGGCCCCACAACAATGATTGGGCCCTGGGCGACTGCCCCTTTTGCCCTGCGTTAAAGACGGCCCTGGATCTAGGTATAATCATTGTGTAAGTGCCAGGTTTGCCTGTGTAGGAGCTTACAGAGGGTTAAGGTGTTCAGGCCTGGCAACTGCATCCTGGGATGAAAGGGAGGAAGTCACATGCTGCCCCCCCATACCCAGAAATACCCAAGCACTGTATGTATGAATGGAGCAGTAGTGAGGCATACCAAAGGAGAGTAACAAGGGGTAGGAGTAGTGGACTGTCAAGAGAAGCTTTCACCTGAAGGGGAAAGGACACATTCTCTTTTAGTTAGCAGCATATTTTACAAAAAAAAATAACTTTTGGAGCCCGATCATGGAACTCTAAGGGGCCACCATCTGTGGTGACTATTTTATTCAGAAAATACCAGGAGAGGAAATAGAGAGCGAACAGAATAAAAGCATGGGCACAGAAAGCAAAGGTATTGCTGTACTCTCTATTCAGTTTCTTGAGATCCATATAAAACAAAACAGCATGGAAGTAGGTATAATTAAACCTTTACCCTTTGCACCCACAGTCCTTTCTAATTATGTTTCCTGGAAATCTCCATAGAAGTGAACCTGTCCGTCTTTTTAAAGTTTTTAAGCCAAACCTTCTGCTTATCAGAAGTCGACAGTAGGTACCTACCATTATCTATCATTACATCTACCTTTTTCTGTACCCACAGGAAGTTCACCGATGCCAGATACATATTTTATCACTTTGATCTGACAGGATGCTTATTCAGCACAATACGAAGCTCGTCTCACCTCTCCCAAGAACGCCATCTAGTGCGGACCTTGCGCCTTTTTCTCAGCATCACAGCAAACTGTACAGTCATGCCAGTCATACATACCCAGCACAGCAAAACAAATTCTGTGCATGAGCTGCTATTTTGTATTGGTTGCAGGGACAAATGCACATAAGGGATCGGCAGTCAGAATGCAAATAAGTAATTGAAGTCAGAGTGATACATATTCAGCCAGACAGAGATTGTATTAGCAACCTCCATTTTGATAGCCTTACTCTTACTTTCCCTTACTTTGAGAGATGTTGCACAGCGTGTCTAAATTTGCCAACACAGCCCAATAGGAGCCAGAATTTAGGTACATTGCCCAATGCACTTTATAATCTAACAGACATGGTCAGATGCTCCCTCTCTTCCTCCACGTGTCTGCGTGAGGACACTGGTTTTAAGGGGTTTAAACTATATGAATCTATGCCAGCATAGAGAACTGACAAGGGAGAGCAGGAAATCAGAAATCATAACAAATGGTGGTACAGGACTCTAAATCGATAAAAGAAGCTCATATCCTCTACAGATTGGAAGACAATACAATGGAACAAGATAACATCTGTCTAATACCTCTTCCCACTCTCATAAAGGCACATGCCAAAGCTTTTGGTCCCAGTTTCAAGGCAGCGACGCATCATGAGACGATAACGTGGTTCAAAAACATGTAGAGGACAGGGCACGCCTGGAAAGGCCACGGTGCAAACAAAGATTGGCACATTGCTAACCAGGCTGAAAGAGAAAACAACACATTACTTGAATACTCTATTTAATTATATGTACATTACAAGCAATAACTGCAGAAATTTGATCTTGATCAAAACAGTGTGCTGCAGAGCGAGTTGGAGGAAAGGTATTTTCATTCTTTTTTTTGCAGGCTCGCATTTTGAGCCACTTAGGACACTGGCAACTATAGGAATATACAGTGCGGTCCCTTTAATGAGGCAGCCTGAGGCTGTTACCTCAGGTGGCATCTCTTTGGGTCACGTGGGGGGCAGTAGGCAGAGCAGCACATTGTTTGGGCCACCTCCTTTCCGGCCATAGCGCCCCATGTTGCTAAGAGCCGGATGGCGAGATTTAAGGGCCATACAAATCTGTCCTCCCAGGTCTTAGCAACCAGGGATGCTCTGGCCAGCGTCCCACCCAGCTCCTGGCAACCAGTGATGTCACGGGTAGCCGGGAGCTGGGTGGGACGCTTACCAGATTGATACCTATACCCCCACACCATCTTGCCCAATCCTTCCAGCCCCGCCCTCCAGCGCACTGCCTCAGGCTGCAAAAACGCTAGTGATACAACTAGGAATATAAAAAGAAAAGCATCCAGACAGTGAACCCCAGGATAAAAACTGGAGACACTCAGCAGGTAGTTTATGTTTGCTGAGTTTGTTTAAACCTGAACTCCAGGCAAACTGCTAAATATACAAAGGAACTACTTTTTCCTGCCTAAGGATTTGTTTTTCTGTCCATCCAGTTCTGAAATTGACACAGCACAGCAATGTCGGCAAACCAGTAATACTTTCAGGTCTTGACCCTCCCCAAGCCTGTGACTGGACAGTGAAAGTAGAAGCAGCAGACTTTTGAGCTCATCTCTCTTATACTCTGCCCTCTCCTACTATCACTATCCTCTATATAAGTAAAAGAAACTGCACCACAGCTGGTTTACTCCTGCTTCTCCCTCCCGCAGTCTGAGCTTTACTACACAAAGACTGCAAGAGGCTGAAACCAAGTCAAATTCAGGTACTTACACTGCTAGTAGTTATACTATAAAATGATGTTAATTATGTATTACAGAGCTGCATTATTGTGTGTCTTTTATATCAACCTACAGTTCAGCTTTAAATGCAAAATGTTCAGGTTTGACTATAGTGTACCTGTAAGGTTGTGTTATATATACACCATCTAGGGTGACCTTTTCCAAAGCCATGCGGCACACATGACTAGATGAGGTTAGTGGTATCAGGGGAAGCCAATTACAAGGGCACACCTCATTTTCAGTCTCTAAAGTCAGCAGAAAAAAAAAACTCAATCCGGGAACATTAATTACTGCAGAGACTCTCTGGGTAAGTGTATAAATCCACCTGCTGAGGCTTTATGTCAGCAGAAGAATAATTACTCAAGACCCCACAATTACTGAACTCTGTTATTCTTTTAAACTGTTCCCGTTATGGTAATTATCTTTTTTCAATATTAATGCCCTGACTCATCTGCATTCATTCTGAAGGGGAAGAGCATCTTTGGTGTGTTCACCTCCAATGCACACCGGCTGTTGTGTTTGTGTTCTGCATTAAAGGAAACTATAGCATTTTCTAGATTTAAAATCTGGGTTTGTAAAATGTTTCAATGTAGTTTGTAATGATATAGTTGTTTCTCTTTATCCCTTCCTACCTAGTTACTCTCCAGCTATTTAGTGTTCTACCCACAATACTTTTCTTCCCTCTCCCATCACCATCTCCCTATAGTTGGAACTCGCAATGCATCCCATGATAAAAAAACTCTACCTGGTTTTATCCTGCCTTTTCAAGTCCTTCTGCTCGTCCCTTTGCACAGAATGCAAAATAAATGCCAACGCACTTACAGTGACACTAAACTCAGGAGTTAAATCTTAAAAATACATTCTAGTACCCTAACTATTAACAACAATGTATCTTATTTATGTATCACTCAGCTGTAGATCCTCAAATCATCTCTGAATTGGTGCTGACACAGTTCCCTGTGGAGGAAGGGACATGACTGATGCAGGTCAGACCTGAACGAGAAGGAGTTAGGTGAGTATTGGATGGAATGTGTTTTTTTCTGTTGTGTTTGAAAAGGGGGAGGGAGGGCCAGCTAGCATAGTGATAGGTGGGTTTAGCTTGTGGGGTGGAGTTAAGGGGGCCATCTTACTGTGTAGTGTGAGGTAAGGAACCATTTAAAGTGGGAGCGAAAAGTAGTCAGTCCCGCCCACGCTCCCTTATAGTATTTCAGCTTGTTGTTTTTTATGTTTCCTAAGGGTTAGTTTCTGCAAGTGTGGAATTTAGGGAGGAGGGATACATTTTTCCTAGTTAGGGTTATGGGTATTCATTTTCTACGTTAAAGGTGGAATTTGTGTTTTGGGAAATATGACTGACTTATTTTTCTTCTAGGTTGGTCGTCCATTGGGCGGGTCCCTGGTGGTGCCATGCACCAACGACGAAGAACTGGCTCTCTGCAAAGTGAAAAGGAGCGGAGTAGTAGGGAAGTGCCAATGGTGGGGCTACTGGGCTCTATAGCTTGGTAGCCAGTAAGAACTTGGGCAACTGTTGGCCAGAATATGGGCGGCCGGTGTTTGGTACAGTAAACAATGGGTCATGGTACACACATGGTGTTTTTTGGCACTTGTTAGGGACCGAAGTATTTTTTCTTGCTACATAGTATGTTCTGCTATTATTGTATATGCTTACATCGCTGTGGCCATTCAACCTTTTAATAAATGTTATTACATTACATTATTTAAAATTACTGGTGTTTAGTGTGTTATTTAGGTAGGAAGTAAGGGTTACTTGGCCTTGCAGTCAGTCATGTCCTTCCTACTGAAGTGTGTGTTGGGAAGTTAGCACCGCTCCGAGCTCACTCCTGTGGACTGCAATCTCAATACAAAGTAGTAAAGTAAATGTGAGATTGTAGTCCATCACGGGAGCGAGCTTGGAGAGTTCTTAGGACAGGAAGTGCGTTACTAGCAGAATTACCTGGTAAAAACAAGGGAAAAGGAACCTAAAAAAATAAAATGCATGCAACCACCATATCTAAGAGCTGGCAAGCTAAAATATATTACCGTTTTGTTGCTGGGTATAGATGTGCTCTAAACCTGAGTTACTAGTTACTGGTTAAGTACTTACTTGGACATCTCAGCAATCTCCGTAAGACGAACCTGCTTCCTGTCAGCCACCTCTGAAGGAAATATGGCTTCCATGAGGTCCACCAGAAGAGCAGTGACATCATAACAGCCAACCCTCAGGTACTGCAGCAGAGGTACGAAGTGTCAGTGCAAGAGGCAATGCAGCCAAAACAAAAACAACAGAGTCTACAGAAGTGAACGTGCATATTACCTCTCGTAAGCTCTGCTTGCACAATGGGCAGTAAGGCTGGTGGTCCAGGCAGCGTAACAGGCACTCCTTGCAGAAGTTGTGACCACAAGGAGTGGTTACCGGCTCCAAGAACATCCTGACATATTACAAAAAAAAAATTAGCTTCTCTATAAACAAAGTATCAAAATAATCACATAGACAAAAACTTAATCATAAAACTAATCATCTACTCCTGTTCATCTAAAAAGATTGCTCTGATAAATCAGAGTCACAGCCAGGGAAACCTGGAAAGAAAAATAAAAGTGCTGGACCTGCAAGGTTTATCCTCCTACTGGTTTAGTTGGCCAATTATGATGTGAGAGAGTCATTACAGGTGATCTGACTACCAGACAGGCAGCTTCCACATCCCAGGGGATCTCTACCGTCTCCTTGGTTTGTAATGTCAAGTTGTAGGATATTAAATTAAAGCCCCACACACTGTTTAATAGTCCAGATACATCTTTATTCAATGTATGGTTGAGGGAACAGTAGAGAAATAGCCATTGCCAAAATGTTTCAGGGGCTCATTCAATTACCCCCTTCATCAGGGCTTACTGAGGGAGAACATGTAGCAGGACTGTGATGGCTCGAACTTGGATACATTGTGTGAGAATGCGTAGAGCTTTTCAGCAGCTGATTTGGCTGCACAGGAATGCACAGAAAACAATACTGACCCTTTTTTGGTACCACAACACACAGCAATACAATACCATGTGTTGCAATGTTAAAATTAAAGGCACCGCAAGGTACTAAAGGGTGCAAGGTGTGATCCCAGCCTAGAGTGACCCTACTGCAAACATAAAATTTGAAAAAATGTAGGGGACCAGAATATGGGCAATCCTGGAACAGTTAGTGGTTTATCTTCAATACCGGGTACATTGGCTGTAAGTTATTATTATTATTATACAGGATTTATATAGTGCCAACAGTTTGCGCAGCGCTTTACAATATAGGGAAGACATTGCAATTACAATACAAATCAAGACAAGATGGTAAGGAGGGCCCTGCCCCTGAGGGCTTACAATCTAAAAGGGAGGGGGAAGTGAACAGGGATTGGCAGAGGGTGGTTGCTAACACTGAGCGGTTAGTTAGGTGGATGAGTCTGGCAGCTGCATTCATGATAGACTGAAGGGGGGATAGCCTGTGTAGTGGAAGGCCAATGAGGAGGGAGTTTGCAATAGTCAAGACGAGATATAACAAGCGTGTGGATGAGTAGTTGTGCGGTTTCTTTGGTCAGGGAGGGGCGTATTTAGGAGATGTTACGAAGGTGAAGATGGCAGGATTTAGATAGTGATTGGATGTGGGGAAGAAAGGTGAGGTCTGAGTCAAGGATGACACCTAGGATCTTAGCATGGGAGGAGGGGTGGATAGTTGTGTTAACAATCTCAAGGGAAAAGTTGGGGGAAGGTGCACGGGGTGGAGGAAATATCATGAGCTCAGTTTTTGAAAGATTGAGTTTTAAGAAGTGTTACGACATCCAGACGGATATGTCGGATAGTAGATTAGTGACACAAGAGGACACTGAGGGGGTGAGTTGTGGAGTAGAAAGATAGATTTGAGTGTCATCGGCATAGAGATGGTATTGGAAGCCATGTGAGGTTAATAACTGACCAAGGGAGGAGGTGTAGATAGAGAAAAGAAGGGGTCCAAAGACAGAGCCTTGGGGGACCACTACAGAAAGAGGAAGAGGAAGGGCGGAGTTAGAGTTGTAGGTGACGCTAAAGGAGCGCTTAGATAGGTAGGAGGAGAAGCACGAGAGAGCTGAGTCTTGTAGCCCATGTGACTGGAGTTTTTTGAGGAGGAGCAGGTGGTCAACAGTGTCAAAAGCAGCAGAAAGATTTAAAAGCAAGAGTAGGAAATAGTGGCCTTTGCTTTTAGCAGTGAGGAGGTCATTAGTGAGTTTTAGGAGGGCGGTTTCAGTGGAGTGTTGGGGGCGAAAGCCAGATTGTAAGGGGTCAGGAAGGTTGTGATCAGCAAGGTGGCGACTTAGGCGGCTGTAGATGAGGCGTTCTAGGAGTTTGGAGGTGAATGGGAGATTGGTCTGCGATTATTGAGGTCGGTAGGGTCCATTGAGGGTTTTTTGGGTATTGGGGTGACCAGGGCATGCTTTAGAGGGGAGGGAAAGATTCCTGTAGAGAGTGAGAGATTGAAAATATGAACAAGAGAGTCTAGGATAGAGCAAGAGGGTGACTGAAGTAGCGGTGAGGGAACAGGGTCCAGGGGGCAAGTGGTGAGGTGGTTGTCAGAGAGAAGCTTTGTAACCTCCTCTGTACTTCCTCTTTGAAGGAAACACCTTTTTTTTTAATTTTAGCAAAATAAAATAAAAGCAAAATACAGGTTAAAGCCGTAAAAACCAAAAATAAATGTTCACAAAAAATGCCCTATATTTCCCTTTTAATATAAGATTTCAACATTTACAACACACAGGCAGCACGACCCGTGACAGTCTGTATGGGAAAAGGTTTGACATATATAGTATGTGCAAATGGGTAGAAACACAAAATAATGTCATTATGGAACATGCAGAAGGGACTAGATAGATGTGGCACTTTTTTTTAATACTCTAAAACACAGTCGTGCACATCCTGGTCACATATGCATTGAGGGTTCCCATCAGAGGTGACAGACAGCTCTCTGGTGCAGTAGTGAGGCCCTTCAGCAGGTGTCGGTATGTATGAGAAATCACAGCGCTGTGTTCTTTTCTACGGTACAAGGACGCAGTCTCTGCAGTTTTGGCCGTCTGCATGGATTCCGGCTGTGTTTTTTGCAACAAAGAGGCTCCTTCCTGCTTCTGGTCTCCAGGGAAACGTTCCAACCTCTCCAAATCCCACTAAATGTGCCTCTAAATAGACTCAAGGACTGTCACGCTGTTCTGTGCAGACAGCAGTCACGGCAACGTACAGCACGCAAGAAAAAGAGAACTAAAGCTAAACCAACTTCATTACCAAGGAACCTAGGAACAGTTGGGTACCATGAGGCAAAGCTGAACAAACATACACAGAAATTGTCTTATCACTAAAGTCATGTAGACACTTTCATAGTTTATCCATCCCCGCTACATATCATATGTAGGGCCACTGACCTGCTTCTTTCCTGGGTTTTTAAATACTAGGAGATATCTCCATACTGGAGACACCCACGGCATGCAGCAGATATCTTGTTGTGGTGGGGACTGGTAAGTATAAGACTGGCATGGGAGTTGGCGTTCAAAAAGTTTCAGTTACTCTTTAAAGGTCAACTCTGAGTTCATTGTCGTGCACTCATGCTGCATATATAGTAAATATATATATTTGTTATATGTTCTTTTAGGTTTTTTAAACTTGCTAGTCTTGCAAAAAATACCCTGCGCTGTTGTAAAGTCGGACTGCTGCTCTGACACAACGCAGCATGAGTCTTCAACGGTTTGACACCACCCAGCACACCAAACCCGTACACTGCTCCATTCAACATTGCTGATCAGGGAGTGAGAGCACTGTTAATTAGAGGAGTTTGCAGGGTGGGGGGTTTTGAACCACTGGTGACCCGACCCAGGTTGTTGCATTGATTGTGAAAGCAGCTGTCCAATCCTCCAACATGTTGCCAGAGCAGGTTACTTTAACCATTGCTGCAAAACACAGTAAGAAAAACCTAAGAGAGCAGCTATGTACCCAGACTACATTACAGTAATAAATACAGTGGGTTCAATTGGGCTCTAAGTCTAAATTGAAAATGTTTGCAGGCTTAGTGATAAAATATGTATTATCCAAATACTGTATAAAGGGTCATATTTGCCCCCTTTATCTCAAAGACAGGTCACCTAAGATCTGACAGTTTCTACCCATTTAGGAAGGATGGGGCTGCCTCCAGTAAACATAATCATTACAGGCATTTATATAGCACCAACAATTTACACAGTGCTTCATATGTTATACATTCACATCACTCCTTGACTTCAAAGAGCTTACAAGCTAAGGTCCCTATTCTATATGCACACTCATACTAGGACCAGATCAGAGAGGAGCCAATGAATCTAACAGCATGTCTTTGACATGTAGGAGCAAACTGGGGTACCCGGTGAAAACCCACACAAGCACAGGGAGGGAGAACATGCAGAGTTTCCTAGCCAGGATTCAAATCAAGGACCCCAGTGCTGCAAGGCAGAAGTGTTAACAACGAAGCCACTGTGCTAATCTGTATATATTTATAGTTATATATACAATGAAGACTTCTATTTGTTTTCTTTTTGCCCTATACTATATATATATATATATATATATATATATAGATATATATATATATATATATATATAGATAGATAGATATATATATAGATATATAGATATATATGCAGATGGCAAGAAGAGAAAAACTCAGAGGTTCTAACTCTTTCCCACTCTATGCAAAGCAGATTTAGCTGGGGTTGTTTCTCAAAAAAAGTATTTTCTTTTATTGTTAAGTGAATTATTGTTTACAAAATTGATTTCCTGTTTTCAGGTCACAAATAGGAGTATATCTCTAAACTTGAGAAACGCAACAGATTCTGTTTGACTAGATAATTTCTGAACTCAGCAGAATCAGCTCATTATTGCCGGGGACATGACAATCCCGATATTTGCTCTTTTAATCTTTTTGAAACCTGGAGTGCTTATTTGGAGAGAAGCCCAGATCATCTGCTTGGTAATTGACAATAACAACCTTCATTTCTCTCTAAATAAGGCATCCCTTTGCTTTGCCACTTGTGTTACAGAATTAATTAGATTTCGCCATGATCTGCAGTGTAAAACTGTCCGAAGATATTACGGGATGAAAGTTTACTAGGAAACAATCACTGAAAGATCCTTTGCAAGCCCAATGCACACACAGGCCCTGTGGATCCTTCCACACTGGCAGTAAAGAAGGCCCTTGGGGGCAGTTTTGACCCTTGACATCAGCTCCTAAATGATAGATATTGAAGCCCGTTTACCTCTTTAGGTAATACAGAGTATGTTGAACATTAACATGCATTGCATTAAGGCTGGAATGAATGGGCTGTCAACGCACCCCAGCGCGCTTAAACAAGCACTAGACTCTTTTTTTTCTTCTGCATTGTACTGTGTATAGCCAGCTGTACACTGCTGTGCTCATTCAGTAAGGCAGTGCAGTACACTGGGTAGCAGTGGAGGTCACTGCACTCCACCTTGCGTTTTATGTTCTTATCCTTCACAACTTACCGAATGCACAGGGAACATTCCACATCAGAAAGGCTCAGCAGATCTTTCAGGGATGAACTGGGGCCGATTTTCTGAGTACCATCTTCTTCCGAAGTGTCTAAAAAATAAATTGGAAGTCTTAGAATGACCCACATGATTCTCCAAAGTTCCCATTCTATAGTGATGTACCAGTGCTTTGTAGGTATGTACCTGTGTATGAAGTCATAAAAATGGCAAATGTCATCAGGGCTGCCATCAGGGGGGTACGGCCGATACTCATGTAAGGGACCCAGGCAGCCTGGGGGGGGCCACCCAGGACCCTTACATGAGTATTGTCCGACAGGGAAAGGCGAGGAGGCGGCCGGGCCCCCGCAGCGCCGGGGAAGGCCTGGCCCTAGCAGTGCACCGCTGCTTGTCTGATGTGGGACCGGACGGAAATGACATTACTTCCAGTCCGGCAGCAGAGGAGGCCAGGTGTACAGGCACCAGGAGCAGGTAAGAGGAGCTGGGAGGGGGATGAAGCCTTGACCAGCCCACCTGAGACCCCTGCAGAGCCCACCATAGAGAGTAAGCATCACTAATGGTATATTGCACTGTATATGTACCACCAGCTATAGAGGAATACAAATCCCAGCAATACATTATACACTGTATGTATAATGTGTTGTACTCCTCTATAGCTGGTGGTATTCTGCATTGCGCTGTATAATATATTATTGCTGGGATTTGTAGTGCTCTGTAGTTGGTGGTATTCTGCATTGCTTGCTGTATAATTTTATACTTTATTGCACACCACGCTTGACTGATGGGACTGGCTCAGTGTTCTCTGTACAGCACTTCAATATATGCCAGAGCTATATCAATGTATAATAATAGTGTGTGACTGTGGGGGGACATTTGAGTGTAAGCTCCTCTGTACAGAGACTGGTGTAACTGGCTCAGTGTTCTCTGTACAGCATTGTGGTATATATCAGAGCTATATAAATGTATTATTGCTATACAGGATTTATATTGCACCAACAGTTTTAGCAGCACTTTACAATATAAGGAAGGCATTACAATCACAATTCAAGACAAGATGGTAAGGAGGGCCCTGCCCCTGAGGGCTTACAATCTAAAAGGGAGAGGGGAAGTGATACCTGAGGAGGTTATCCACATAAATGTAGAATAATAACAGTGTGGCGGCGGTGCGGGGGAAGGGGGCCCGGTCTAAAGCCATTTAAGGGGCCCCAAAATTTCTGATGGCTGCCCTGAATGTCATAACAAAACACCCAAGATTGGTGCAGGGACACATAGACACCAACTACAATTGATCTTGCACTGGTCCGATATTGTAACATTTCTCCGCACCGTGCCGTGTCACGTGTGCGTCCCAGCGTGGAACGCAGCAGAGGGAGAAGCCGCCGAGGGTTTCCTCCCCCATCAGGGGAGGTACTGTGCGCTCCACGCTGGAACGCGGAAATGCGCCGCGGCCGTGACGTCACGCCTATTTAAACTTGAACCAAACGCTGCAGGGTGTTCACTATTGGGTTTCTCATGCCCCAACACCCTGGAACCTCGTTTTCAAGGCAGACTGCTCGCCAGGACCGAAGGGAGGACTACCCTACTGCTTAAACAACTGACCTGTGTCACTGCTGATCCAGCACCTAAAGCGCAAGTACCTTAAAGCCCTCTGGGCTTCTACATGTATGGACTACCTAAATCTTTAGTTCAGTGCGAAGTGTGTACTCATAGATCTGGACTGCCTAATACCTAGAGAATTGTGTTATCTATACATGTCTGGACTGCCTAACCCTATAGATCCGTGAGGAGTGTATACACATAGATCTGGACTGCCTAAAGCTAAAGTATATGAGAAGTGTATGCATATATATATATATATATATGGACTGCCTATAGCTATAAGTACTGTGATCTCTTGGCACTTATAACTGTTTCCCAAAACCGCATGAGTTAAGCAGACCTTAATCAACACCACCAAAAGAAGCTCCTTATAATTCCAGCTGGGCTTAGGGGTTACTAACTCCATCTCCTTACATATTCTTTTTATTACTTTCTATTACGGCTCATGATGCAAGAACCCCAAACTCTCCGCCTATGATTGAGAGTGATGCCTGGGGTTCGTGACTGAGCGCCGTATAGATACCTCTCCTTGAAACCTGAACTTCCGCAGTTGAGATCCTACTCACCTTATAGTAACACCAAGCGGGCTGTGACAGATATCAGCAGAGAGAATTCTGATTGGCTGTTATGGTTACTGCACTTAAAATGTATTTCTACTTTTGAATCCAAATTGGAATAACACCTGTTTTATATTTGTTACATGTTCCCATTCACATAGAATAAGCTGAAAAAATATTAAAAAAATGCTTCTTTCAGTTTTACTTGGGTTAGTGGGTTAGGTTTCTTGGTTTCTTAAACAAGAACTCCGGGAATTTTGTGCTTGTGTCAGGATCCAGAGCACCCCCAGGTGGCGCTGGAGCCGGGTCCTGCAGTTCCTGTGCTCGCCTGCGGGTGTCTCCAGCAGCCAGGAACTGTAAGGAACCTGCAGCTCCGGTACTCACCTGCGGGTGTGCCCCAGCTGTGACTGCTCATCCCATCACCTGGTGCTTCCTGGGAGGGTATTTAGGCCCTCCCTGCAGTCAGGAAGCTGGGTCAGTATTGTGTTGCTAACCTGACTGATGCCCTGAACCTTGTGTCCTATCTGAAAACCTGTCACCGACCCGGCTTGTTACCCGACCACTCTCCGTTGAATCCTGTAACGCGCTGTCCTCCTGTTGTTGACCCGGCTTGCACCTGACAACTCTTCATCAATCCTGTTCCTGTACCGTGCTGCCCTCCTGTTAACGACTCAGCTTGTACCTGACCACTCTTCTGGTATCCCAAGGTCTGCTGTACATCTGCAGGCCTGTTACCTCTCTTTGTTGGGTTTGTAGTTTTGTTGATGTGGAACCAATAAACTGTGCATATAACCCTATCCTGTGTGGGCATATTAATTTGGTCATCCTGTGTGGGTACCTGCATGTGGTGTGAGAACGCCTGTGCAGGGTACCCTGACAGCTTGTTTTGAAGTGCTTGTTTTGTCTAGGTGCGAAAATAAAAGTTATACTCACCTGAACCTTAGAGCTGGCTGACCGGTCCCTTCCAACCTCTCTCCCCCTCTGCTCCAGGGGTCTAAGATGCCGTGAGTCATCACGTCCAATACACTGTGTATTGGACTCGAGGACGCCAGGGGACATACGATCCTTGCAGTGTAGAAGTAGATAGGCTGGAGAGCCTAACAGCCAGCTGCAGAGTTACGATGAGTATAACTTTGTGTTTTTCGCATCCTAGACTAAAACAAGAGCAGTTAACCCTTGCAGTGCGGGGGTAGCCCCACTGCCTGGGTTAAGAAATGTTTTTATTCTCTAAGGATTCAAATTTCTACTTCTGCTTATTTGTAATGTTAGGAGGGGTTGTGAGGGGTTTGATCATTATATTTTGTAAAGTAGATATGAATACTGCCTCTCCTAACAAAGGGTTAAAAGATTATAACCCTTGCTTGTGCATTGTATTTTAAAGAACGTTAACACAATCCTCAATTTTGTCCTAACTTTTACAAGGACAGATCGCTGTGGAGGTGCTCAGAAAAAAACTGGATTCCGCCACCTTGCTTGCTGCAACAAAACATCTAAAAGGTAAGAAATATTTTTTGAAAAATTATTTTTAGTTGTGCTGTGTGAATGCGAGCACATAACAGACATATAGGGAGGTTTTCTGAAATTAGATTGCAAAAGGGGAAATACACTTTAAGAACTCTTTAGAGGATAAGCCTGAGAATGGCTTTTAATATATCAAGAGGAAACGAAGGGTGTATGATCTCTGAAGTTTAGCTTTGGTGCCATCATTGCCAGACTATTACATTCAGCCTGCTGGGATTTTTAATTAGAGAATTCGGCAGCAGAAGTAAGACTCCTTTGCTTAGCTTCTTAGTGGCTGAATCATAGCTTGGAAATCTGGGGCTGTCAATGCTTTACTGGAAAAAATACTCCAGTTTACAACTGAAATAGCCAAGGGGACTTGATCTTTACAGCTGAGCTCTGGGATAAGCAAATATAATCTAAATAAAGAGGCATGTGTATTTGTATTACTTGAATCTTAATGTGCTTTGTGTATTTCTCCAGGATCTGTGCAGTAAGAGAACCGCTGTTTGACTCTCCTATGTGCTGGCAGCACAGGGTATTTTAACCCTTGCTGCAGCACTCAACAGTATAAAAACACATTCTATATTCACCTTTTTCATATACACAACACCTGCCATCATCTAGACAGTTATTTTTCAGTACTAAGACTGTGAGCAGCCAAATCCCTGTCACTAAGCAAAGTCACAGTATTAAAGTCTCCTCAGCTCCACCTAGTGGCCATAATAGCGCACAGCTATGTGAACGGTTTATAAATAACCCCCCTTAGTGTAATTGCTCTCACCCTGGCACTTCATGCAAAAGGAAAAAAGGGTGAGAACTATGCAAAATAATTGTCTAATGAAAAATAATGTATGGGAGGTACCATGGTTTATAGAGATGAAGACTTCATGGAAAATATTTCAATGCTGGCGGATTTCCTTGCAAAATACAATATAAATGTATTCTGCTGCCTATTATTTAACAGCTAATTACCTTGCCTGTAATGGATCTAGAAATAAGAGCACAGATAGAACTCTATCCCCTGAAAATCCTTTCATAGGTAGAGTAAGAATGTGCTAAAAGGGAATCATGAATAGAAGGTTGGGTGCTCACAGCAGCTCAAGAGAGGCCAAATCATTATAAAGTAGAGAAGAATTGCATTCAGGAATCGTACAGCGCATTGTACACATATTTAACTAAAAATATTTGTCAGCTCAATGACTACATAGACCTATTCAGAGGGATAGTACAGGGAGAAAATGTACTATATATGATAAGCTAAATATATAGGTTGAAGAAGGAACTCCAAGTAAACAGCTGCAATACATATACTGGAACTGTTGCCGAAGGATTGGTATTTCTGTCTATCCAGTTTTGCGATTTACATAATTCTGACACAGTAAAGCCAACCTGGAGAGGTGACTTGTTTCCCCTGCAAAGCAGCCTGATCACTAGACATGTGCGATTTGTTTCATTACGAATCGAAATTCGTACGAATTTTCCTGAAATTCGTAAATTCGGAAGCATCCGAAATCCGAATGGCAGTTTCCGAATTATATCCAAAATACAAAATTCCGTTAACGAATTTCGGATCCGAATTTCTTTGAAACAGGAACTAATACTACCCCTGTAAATGAGGTTGAACAACATGACAAGATTTTCTTTTAAATCCAAAATATGGATCCGCTGCTGTGAGGGTTGCATTACAATACACAGGCAGGAAATATGAAATTCCGTTGACGTATTTTCATTCCGTTACGAACATTCGTTATATTGAAGTTAAAAAGCAAAGTACATTTATATTGGAGTCGATGGTAGTTTTTTTTTATCCGAAATACGAAATTCGGATACGGAATCCGTTAACGGAATTCGTATTTCGGATAAAAAAACAACTACCATATCGACTCCAATAATAACAAAGGTATTTTTGCTTTTTAACTTCATCATAACGAATGTTCGTAAAGTTACGAAAATGTGCCGAAACTAACGAAAATTCATATTTTTTGACGGCGCACAAGTCTACTGATCACCCTTCTGCCCCCAGCTTGTGATTGCACACTGGAGGAGCAGCAGCAGCAGATGAGGTCATCTCTGTGCTCCTTTCAGCACATGAATACTGCAATACAATTGACTGGCTCCTAGTGCTGCCTCCTCTCCTCCAGTCTGAGTGCTGCTGTGCAGGGAGTTAAAAGAGATTGTTACCAATTAAAATTCCAGGGCCAGTTGCATTAGAAAACAACATATTCATGTTTGATGAATACATAATTGCATTCATTAGCATTTGTAAAGATGCACCAATTGGGCATTAAGGTTTCCTTTAAGCTCGTCTAGTACAATGCAGGCAGCCATTTTGCTCTCCAATCTAGTACATTTATGGGTTAGGATTTTATTGATTGGGTTTACATTAGGGATGTTCAGATACCAAGTACCGTACTTAGTGCAAGTACGTGTTCAGATACTTTTCCAGCTTGAAGACTAGACTAGAGAAAAAATCAAAAGTTAGGAGGCAGCTGTCATTTTTAACCTCTTGCCAGATTTTTTTTTTTAATAAATATATACTAGGGATAAACCGATACCATTTTTTCAAGTACTGATATTTGTCCGAATACTCGCAGAAAGTACTAATACATTTTTATTTATTGTCATGTCATAGTTTTTCTAGAACAATACAGACTAATGATTTCAGGACAGTGGTAGAGCGCCAGAGCTAGGTCCCTGCTGCAACCACTGTGACCCTGGTAGTTCTCATGAAAATGCCAAGTATCAGCACTGGTATCTGAACTAGTATCTGGACATCCCTAGTTTACATATACTTTAAGTGGAACTTTACATAAAAATAAAAAATTTGTAACAGGAATGCTTTTATTGCAGAAGAGAAACACTATGGGGTATATTTATAAACTGTTTGCACATTGCCCTGCAAATATCTGTGAACATTCATTTTGGGTGAATAATGCCAAAAACAAATCTTCTTAATATATTTTTTCCCAATTTGAATGTGTTTATAATATTACATTATGATCACTAGATAGAGCTTTTCCAAGTTCAAATGTAGTGTTTTGTAATAAGACATTATGGCCACGAGATGGCGCTGATGGGTACAGGAAAAGAGTATTCAATCCCTATACTCCTTAGCTCCTTGTAGAGGCCATAATGTATATCCCATTTTGGAGCGAATTGCCCTGTTAAAACAACAGGCCAATCCAGATGACTGAAGATTCCGAACATAGAAGAGAAACTTGACCAAGATGTGGGTGCCAGTAAGAAAGCTTTTGGACATTGCTTCCCTGGAGAGAAGGTGAGTATAGTTCTGCTTTAAGTGACACTATAGCGAGGCTATTTACCACCACCTTCAATTCCAACTACTGACCTTTTAATTTGAAATGCTTACTTAGTCTGTCCTTGTCTGGTGGTGACAATTCATCTGGCTCCTTCCTCTTTCTCTGTTCTTGGTTTATGTCAGCAGACTTTGTCATTCCATTACTACAGGGCTCTGTGAGGGAGGTCTTCGTATTGCCTTCAAGCTGTGAGATGACAAAACAGTGACATTTAATAAAGCATGCAAGCTTACAAAACCACATAAGTATCTCTAATATCCTCAGAAGAGATTAAATGTATCACACAGTTAATGTAACTTTGTACTGACTTGCATTCACTTTCATATTTCTCAACTTATTTACATAAATGTTACATTTTTTGCTGCTGGTTGATGATGGAGTTATGGGGGGGGTGTTAAAAGAATGAATAGGTTAGGGATTATTTTTAGAATACCTCCTACAATTCCTTTGTTGTTTATATATATTTTATACACATAATTACTTGCAGTGATATGAGGATCAGTAAAGCACCAATCACTCCGCCACCATGGTAAGCAGGAAGTAGAGCCTGCATATGTCAAAATCCTGGGACAAATCCCAGGAACCAGGTAGCCATTGTTTCTTAAAAATTAAAGCTGGTGCCTAACATTTGAGTTTTTTCCTAGTATTTGTAAATGGAGCTGACTCTTGGATTGGACAAATCCTGACTGTTCCTGAATTGGACAGACTGGCTCCTAAATTCCATAACAATTTGTCCACCCCTCACATGGTATATATGCGTTGGCAGAGCTGAGTAGCAATCATGCCTCTCAGTACAGACTTGTACTTGGGTTGCGGAAAAAGGAACACGATGTGTCTGATCAGGTCTGTTAGATTGAAAAGTGCACTGGGTCTTACTCTGGTGCCTATTGGACTGCATTGTCATTTTTAGAATGCCTGCAAGCTACAGGCAAGTGGAGGTATGTTGTTAGTGCAAAGTCAATATGACATACCTATTTCTGTGACTTCAGCTCACCTTTAAGCTAACATTAAGGCCCCATTCACACTGAGCCATGCGCATTTGTCACGCGATTTGCATTTTGCGCGATATCGCGGCAAAATCCGCTACAAAAAGGGTCCTGCTGTAGCGACGCACGACCCGCGACGCACGACCCGCGACGCACGACCGCGACGGACAGAGCCCCATTGCCATGCATTGGAGAGAGATATCGCACGGTAAATAGCCGTGATATCGCGGGAATTACCGCGCGATAAATCGCTCAGTGTGAATGGGGCCTTAAGCATCAGTCCCCTTACATTCATACTTTTGACATTGTGTGTCACGTTATGTGCGTTTGTCTTATGTCACACATAGGAGAGCCTACTAATTTCAATGGGCAGCCCTATATACAACAAACACAGCAAAGAGGCTAATGCACTTTTTGAATGTTTGCCGCAAGCAAAATGTGCAACTTGCTTGGCATGTTTGAGGTGCCAGTAACAATAAATGACACCACAAGCATTACATGTTTTTTGAAGGAGCAAAATTGCACGATTTTGTACACATTCATGTGCCAAACTAGTGTGAATGTGGGCTAAAGTGTATCTATTATTGCACGTATCCCAGCGCACTGCTAACCGTAGAATCCCCATATAATCCATGGTGGGTGCTGCAGCGAAAAGCAGTTTGCGCCACATTAGTAAATATTAGGAAAAAGAGAAGCCACCGGTACCCCTACTGTGATACCATTTAGGGATGCACCGATACTACTATCGGTGCTGATACAGAGTATTTGGGCGAGTACTCAGCTACTTACCCCCGATACCGGAATTTCCGGTCAGAGGGAGATTTCCTTTTCACCTGCAGTGTCACGAAGGAACATGGAGCCAGCTTCCCGGCCAATCAGGAAGCTGGGTGGCGGGTAATGACTCGCCTCCAGGCTTCCTGATCGGCTGGAAAACCGGCTCCATGCTTTTTGGCCGGCTCGATGCTGATTGGCTGGGAAGCCAGCTTCCTACCCAATCAGCATCAAGCCGACCAAACAGCATGGAGCCGGCTTCCCAGGCAATCCTGGATAATTACATTCTCCCCCGGCTTCCTGATTGCCCAGGAAGCTGGCTCCATGCTAGCGGAAGTACCGGTATTAGTATTCGGTATCGGCGTGTACCGAAAGATAAATATCGGTACTTATACTCGATACCGAAAAAACGGTATTGGTGCATCACTATTACCAATACATCTTTTTATTGACGCACGTTCACATCATCACAAAGCAAGTGATGTTTGGGGGCCGCATAGGGTCCCTTCCTCAGGAAAACAACATCATATTGTTTACTAATTAAGGGCCCCTATGTGGCCCCCTGAAGCGTTGTTTGCTTTGTAATATTGTGAACGTGCATCAATAAAAACATTTATTGGTATCACAGTTGGAATGCCAGTGACTTCTCTTTTTATTCAGTATTCACTAAAGTGTATCTAAACCCTAAAATAAAATAAAAAAAATTATATATTACAGCTTCAATCCTTAGATGCATTAGTTTTCACTTTTCTGGCTAAGAACATTTTCAGTAAGTACAGAAAACATTCTATGATCCTGCCAGAAATGTGTCCTTGTCACTTCCTGTGAGCTTACAAGAAAAATCAAAGAACCTTGGGTCTATTCACAAAGCAGCCGAAGGATCTAGCTGTAGCTTCGGCCCCAGGACCCCTTCAGTTAAGTAGAACCGAAGGGCTGCTTTACGGGCTTTTCACAATAGCCCGTACAGCTCCCGAACTTAGTCGAGCCGAAGGCATATGTCTCGGCCTGGCTGAGCCCCGCTGAAAGCTGAAGTTGACCGAGAGGCTGGCCATTGGCCAGCTAGCCAGGGACACTGATCTCCAGACAGAAAACTCTCCCAGGCGCTCCGGGAGTCTCCCGCTCCCGACCGCCAAGGAGGGATACACTGCTTTTTCTATTTTTTTTTTCTTTATTCTGACACGGAGCCGTGTCAGAATAGAAAAAAAAAATACATTTTTGCCCATAGGAATGCGTTGCTAGATTCCTATTGGCTATTTCAATTTGCAATAGCCAATAGTAAACTAGTATTGAACCTGCCCTCTGCTGATGGACCTGATGGAGAACTCCGTGTCAGAATAAAGAAAAAAAAAGAAAAATCAGCTTCTGTCTCCTGGGCGGCTGGGAACGGGAGACTCCGAGAGCGCCCAGGAGTGTTTTTTTTTTTTGTTTTTTTTTACGGCAGCAGAACCGCTGGATAATAGAAAACTATTGGGCAGAGCTAGCTGTCATTGCTAGCTGCGCACAATCATTTTCTATTTTTTTTATAACTATTTTTCTGTTCTGCTCGGTCCCTCTGAGGGACTGAGCAGAACAGCTGAGCCGAATGCCGCCAATCGGCATTCGGCTATTCACTCACTGCTGTTCAGCATCTATAAGAATGAACCGAACAGCAGCGAGTACGATCAGCCCTGACACATCGGCTTGAAAAAGAAGGTATTGCCTTCGAAATGCGTCGCCAGCACGAACCCAGGACCCACTGAGCGTTTCTAACACTCCATCTCTCCACTGAGCCAACATCTCCTGACCTTTGGGCTCCGCCCCCTCTGCCTCTCCACACCTCAGCACCGGCATCAGAAGCTGACAGTTTGAAGACACAGACTCGCCGGACCATCAGGAGGCCCCAGCGTGCATCCACCTCCGCCTCCACTCCGGATCCACACTCACCCCCCTTCCAGCAGGCATGTCACAACACGAGGGGCCATCGTAACACCTCGGCAGCTGCACTACCCACCCTCCAGCACCGCGTCTCTCCCCAGCGCCGGACACTGCAGACATCCAGCAGGACTGCCACGCCAGCACCCACCCAGAGGATCATCCTGCAGCCTTCCACCCAGGCACTACAGGAGCCTACCTCCATCGTTGAGAGCCAGCCTTCACTTTCCTTGCGGTGAGTTACAGAATCTCTCCTTTGTTTTGCTCACCTTCCTCATCTCACCTCACTATTTTTGTGTTTACATCTGCTCCACCTGGTTACACCACTACACCACCCATCCTAAGAGGCACTGTCTCCCGCAACTGCTCCACTCCATCTCACGACCTTCCTAAAAGCAAATGATCAACCTACCATAGGTGAGTACATCACCTATCCCTCTCACCAGGCTTCACCACATTTATTGCGCCAGGTAGTGGCGCTTCCGTTCTCCAATTTTTGTTTCCTTTTAGACAGCAGCTAGTAGCCTGCCAGAGGTTTGGCTTAGCCGATCCAGATGTAGGATCGGCTGAGTCGAACTCCTCCTGCACTTCGGGTCGGCCAGCACATGCTGAGCGTGTTCGGCCGACCTGAAGCCACCCGATGTACGGCTGATTTCAGCCGTATCAGCCTGAAGTGAATAGCCGAACATCGTTCGGCTCACTTCAGGTTGGTCTTTCACTCGGCTGCCTACGGCAGCTTAGTGAATAGACCCATTTATCTTTCTTCCATCAATCCAGTATTTAAAAGAGTTGAGCAAAGGTAGATATGCTTGAAGTCCACTCTGTGTGACCACCATGGCCGTCCCCATAGATACAGTGGAGTAAAAACATAGCCATGAAGGGTCAGGGAGTGTGTCATTCGCAGGATCACCAGGTAAAAATAAAGGAATTAAAAGCCAGAAAAAAGAATGCAAATGCAGCCACCACGTATAAGAGATAATAGGCTGAAACATGTAAAAAAAAAATTAAGGGTGTAGATACACATTAATGTTTAAAACACTTTGTTTGTATTTACAGCTTTAGAACAATAACATTACAATGAGTCTACAGCACAAGGTCAAACAGCAAAAAAGGCAAAGTGAAACACAAAACTATCTGTCCGGAATAAACAATACATATAAAACGCGTATCATTTTTTCCGACACGTAGCCTGTAACTGCGCTTCACTTTGTATTTAAAGCTTTAGAAGAATAACATTACAATGAGTCTACAGCACAAGGTCAAACAGCAAAAAAGGCAAAGTGAAACACAAAACTATCTGTCCGGAATAAACAATACATATAAAACGCGTATCATTTTTTCCGACACGTAGCCTGTAACTACGCTTTACGTCTCAATGCCTCCCTGTCACATTCAATTTTACACGGGCCTATGGATAGTTGCCATAGCAAAAACAAATGTACCCTCTAACGATTTTTTTTTTTTTTGCTAGAGAAATTCGCATTCTTAAGATAAGACTTTTTTTTGTTATGTTTGAAT